TTCTTGCTATTTTGGTATTCAATACACTAAGGTCATTTAAAAATAAGTACTTTAGGTCACCTCTAACACTGTATTTTTCGTTTGAATTGTAACTGCCTGCTGACATGCATTGCAGCCAGTTAAAATGATGTTGCATTTAATCTTTTTATGGTTATTCTTTGGGGATTAGCTAACTGGTACTTAAATCAACTCTTATTTAAAAAAAAATATCTGTGCAATACAGATAGCCATTTGTTTTTACCTACTTCAGAAAAGAAAGGAGCAGTGTACTTGAAAGTCAATGAAGTTTGGTTTCTGGTTTATGTTTATCTGTTTTCAATATATTGACTATAAAGGCAAACCTCAGGAGTATTATATACAAACCTGCTTTGATTTATTTGCATTTAGCATTGCAGCTTTGAGACTAAAAATAAAATGTGTCTTACTTTGATTTAGATCTGTCCCTTGAGACAGTGTGAAACCATGTATTACCAAGAACACATCAGAATAGGAGGATTAACTGTTCACATGCAGTTTAAACATCAAAGTATTTATATGAAGTCATGGAAAAATAAGTAATTTGTTTTGTCATTCTCTGCAAAAAATAGAATGCCCTTTTTAAAATTAAATAGTCTTTATTTTTAAAACAAAGATTAGTAGCACTCAGTCTATCGAAGAGCACTGCTGTTAAGTAAAATGCCATTAATACTGCCTCAGACAGTACAATGGGTGTTTTTCCTCTTATCAGTACCATCAGTGCACTGGTCGGTACCTGCTGTTGCTTGTTATACAGAAGTAGACAGATGTGATTGCTGTCTTTAGGATTATTTTTATGCATTATGGCATACAGCTCTCTGATTTCTGGGAAAAAATTTAACAGTACTTAATTGGCCTCTACATCAGGTGTTTCTAACATCCTTTTCCATGTTTTATCTGTGTGGCTAAATCTGTCTCTTTAATAGAATAGAGTGTAGTCATTAATGATACAAGTATGGCATTTTAACCATCTTGAGGTGGTTGCTGTGATTTTCGTTAATTACCATGCCTCTTCTGTGGACCAGCTAAAAGCTCTTTTATCATCTTTCCCTCACATTCTTCAATGTATTTCTTCGTTGCCACCTTTCTTACTGAACCTCTCCTAACAACAAAAGTTGCTTTTTTTCTGTTTTTATTTGCACATCGCTACCATTCTTTTCATTTGTTTTATGGAAAAGACACATTTCTGTCCCTGAAAATGTTAGTGTGTGAGTTATCCTATTCAAGTCCCTCAAGACTGCTCAGAAGACTGTGAAAATTTTACAATATAAAAAGAACCATTCTGGTCAAGACCAAAGATCAATCTAGCCCAGCTATTGTCATTGCAACAGTGGCCCAAGTAAAATGCTCAGGGAAGACTGTATGAGCAGGACTAACATGTATTTCGTTTCCCATTTATTCATTCTGATTCCAGCTGTTCAAAGGCTTCCAGACTTAATGTAGTTTCTGTGAATTTGGAACCATTCTATGGTCTTCCTCATTCATGAACTTGCCCAGTTTTCTGCTTAAAGCCATATAAAATTTTCTATCTTTATGTGACTTGTGATTTTACACAAATTGGTGATTAGTCTTCTCAGGCATCTCTCTTACTGGCTGAAGAGTTCTATTCTTTAGAATATTGTGTTTATGATTTCTCACTTGGAGACAGCACTCCATGGCTTTGAAAATTCTTGTTCAACTTCTATGACCTTTCCCTTTTTCCCTTTTGAAATAAAAATCCACATCTCCACTCAGCAGTCAAGATACAATTGGATTAATGATTTGGGACAGTTATGTTTTCTGGCTTTTTTTATCCTTTCCTGATTATAGTGAGTGTTGATTTTGGTTTTCTGATTGATACTGAGCACTGCATTAGCAGATTCTTGGTAATATGCATCACTACCCCATGATCTGCTTCCTGAGCAGCAGTTACCTTAGAGCCCATCATTTTGAATGTGAAGTTAGATTTAAATTTTAGGAGTCTAAAACACCTTTCAGAAATCCAAGTAACTTGTACCATTCTTTATCCACATGATTCTCAACAAAACCAAAAAACCAAAGACTGAATATGCATCTAACCCAAAGGCTGGTCTTCTGCTTTCAGGATTATATTTAATAACATAACTAATAAGGATTAGCAGAGAAACAGCTAATTTTTTTTTCCTCTACAAAAAGTGCATGAAATAGAGGGGACATATTTAGGAGACACTTTGGAAGAACAGATGATTAACATCTTCCTTAAATTCATTTACAGACTGTGTTGACATGAGGTCTTGGCATTGAAATTAGAGAAGGAATTGAAAAATGAATGGCTTAAGGCATAGGCTTACACCTAGGGCCTGAGTTCTTTTTTTTTTTTTATGAGAAGAGATCAGAGGTCATCTGTATTAAAACAAGGCTGGTAAATGGATAGATAGGTATCTATATACATATCTTTGCAGACATGTAATTGCAGAAACAAAATAACAAGTCTCATATCCTCTATCTAATTTAGTTTATTGGTACTGAATATTGACTATAAGTTCAGTCCATGTTAATTGCAGATGAATCCCACTGTTTATAAAATTTGACCTTTTATTGTTATGAATATTTCTTAAAACCTTAAAACCAGAATGTTAGGAACTAACAAAGAGGTAGATATCACTGCTTTCAAACAGATGGTGTGTCTTCATTTAGGTTACCTTGTTCATTTCGGATTCTGCACTCCTCACTCCTAGTCTCCATCTTTTTAAAGTTGATGCCACTTGTGCAGAGAAGCTTCCATTGAGTTGTCTTCTCCTGTTGTGACTGAAACTTTTAGTCTCTGGGATCTAAATGGAATGTTTTTCATGGTGGTCAGACTGAGATTTTCCAGAACTAGTAACAGAGGTTTTTTAATTAAGAGCAAGTTAATTTGGTTTGTACAGGTCTTACAACATAATATTTGATTTCAGGATTGATGGATTTTATTTGTTTTAAGATTTTGCTTTAAAGTACCAAGGCAGTAATATGATTAATGAAGCCCATTACTGGTAGATTGAATACCAGACTTGCAGAAACTTAACCATAGAAATGTGATTTTGAGAATTATGGAGGAAATACTAACTGTTGTTCAGAAAGTACAAACAGTTCTGGTTTTACATGCTCTTTGGCAAATAATAGAAGGACAGCCTTTGAGAAGCTGCAGAAGCATCTGACCTGTGGGACATGACTGTTCTTTGTGCATGATAACCAACTTCATCTGCACACAAAATCAAAACCATTATATTTATTTTTTTCAGTTCTTTGCAGTTTTCAATAGGCTGCATTTTTTGTCTGGTGGGTGTGAATGTGAAATCTTAATGTTGAGGCCAACCCTAACTCTTCCTAGAGTGGTAATTCAGTAGTACACACCATATGCCTAATATAGTATGCCTAATTTTTCAGTAGTACATACCATATGTGTGTGTGGTAACCAAAACTGCACACAGGACTCAAGGGGGTCATAAAAGGAAATCAGGTTTGATAATAAGAGGACTTTACTGTCATGAAATGAAGACAGCTGTGAGCAATGATGTTGTTGTCTTTCAGGTGTTTTTCAATACCTCCTAGCATAATTTATTCCATAACTTTACCACGCAGTAAAGGGAAACTGACCTGTAATTCCTGGGGTTCCTCTTTCTTGCCCTTCTTTAAAATTGTGACAAGGTTTGCCAGCTTCCACTAATCTGGAACCGCTCCGGATTCCCAAGACCACTCAAAAAATATCAAGAGAGGTTTTTTGATGGTATCAACTGGCTCTTGAAGAAATCTTGAATGAATGCCTTCATGCCCCGTAGACTTGTAGGGATGCAACTGAAGCAGCAAATCCCACACAAGTTCAGGGTCGACTGGGAGTTGATCATCTCACAGTCATGGTCCTTCTGCTCAGTGCACTGTGATCCCCTTGGTCGATCATCCTCTGTTAGAAAACAGAGGCAAAGAATGCATTAAATGCCATTGCCTCTCTCTGCCCTTGTTTGACCATCCTCATCCTGTAAAGGGATTAGTGTTTTCTTGCACTGCCTGTTGCCATGAATATATTTTTAAAAACTCTTTATTTTCCTCCACATTTCTGGCCAGCTTCAATTCCAGTAGAGCTTTCGCTCCATGAATTTTCTCCCTACAGTGACAAGCTGTACATTGACTCTCTGTTCTTCCCATATCAGTAATGTCTCTTATTCTAGTCCCTGGAGACAGCAGACTTCCCTGTGAGCTGGCTCCAGTCTGCATAAGGAGGCCCTCCATTTGCTTTAGAAGGGTGTTCCCTATTACAACTACCCCCTTCATTTTCCTGTTAACAGAGGTCTTGGTGCAGAGTACAGGTGGTGTTGTTTTAGGAGGCCACACTATCCCAGAAGGACCTCCACCCACCTCATCAGTAGTCTGGCCTTCTGGTTCCAGAGCCTTACATGTATTGTAGAGGGTGCCAGTCCTGCCTGTCAAATTCTGAGAAGGTGGAGGAACCTTCCTCCTAGTACATGCTGTGACCTGCTTCCAGCCTTCACCTTTTAACAGACCCTTGGCTAACAGTCCTTTGACTAATTCCCCTGAGGGTTCTGAGTGCATCTGCTTCTCCACTATAGTGGAGGTTCATGACTCCTGAGAGTGTGAGACTCTGAAAATAATCACTTTCTCTCTTGCTTGTTTGCTCAAACACTATGTAGCCTGTTCACTTCCTCCTGTAGCTGGTGATCAGCTCCTTCAGCACAGCTAACCTTCTGCAAAAGAATGGTGAGCCAGCCTCATGAAGAGGTACCAGGCACGTGTGGCAGCCTCTGACCTGGAGAGCTCCATCTGCCATCAGCAGGGCTGGCTGGCTGGCTGGAGCCTCTGGCATGGCTGCTTCAGTGAGTCCCGCAGCCACTTGTGATTGAGCTTTAGGGTGAGTCAGCACCCTAACTGAGGAAGCTTGAACTAGTATGCTAATAAGACTGAGTTTGTAATACGTGAGATGGCTGAAAGAATGATTTTGTTTTTAATGTTTTGACTTGTGTTCTGTTTTTTAGAGTACCCGAGTGGCTTTAAACCACCTGGAGTCTGTGCCTGAGAAACTGAGCCTGTTAGAAGAGTGCAGAGATACTGGGGTGAGAAAGATTTTGTTTGACTCTCTCAGTACTTCTAAAATATTCTGGTTAATGACCAGTATCTATGATGTACAGATAAGTTGTTTAATAAGATATTTACAGTTGCATATGTATGTATTATATAGACAGAAACATACTGAAATTTATTTTCATGTTTATATGGATATTTTTGAAGTTATAAATTTAGTTCTAATTATTAATAATGCTCCATAATGTAGGCAAACATTGATAACTTGGCATAACAGGTCATGTGTTAATTACTGTTTCAGAATATTTTTATGGAGTGGTAAATTCTGATATTACATGTTAAAAAATGAAAATTTTATAATTAAATGAATTATGCCAGTTGTTTCAATATTTAACTCAATGCGTGAAAATAGATGATCTTCATAACTTTTTTGTTTTGTTTTGACATAATTACAATACTTGTTAGTTAATTTTGCAGCACCACTATCCAATCAAGATGTGTTTGGACATAGTAGGGCATATTGACAGTAGCAATGACATACTGTCAAGAGTGATAAAGCTCAGGTTGGATTTTCAGTGGCTAAGTGCCTAAACCCCTGTACCATAGTTACTTTCCATTTATGAAATGGGTGGTTTAATAGAAAAAAATTTGTAGCTTCCTTGAACTACATAAATTTTAAATCAGTATTAAACCACAGATCAACAAATACATAATGATTTGCATTTTATTTGATATGTAACATTTCTTAAACTGTGGTTGTCATAAATATTTCAAAATATACTTGTTTATATTTATTTATTTTGTGTTCCTGCACGAGGTCATCAGATAATGATTCTATGCCATTCTATGCTGTCGTCATCAACAGATTTGGATATGCACGTACCGGTTAAAATATTTGGGTTTTTTATGAACAATATTGTTGAGATGTATAGTTTTAATTTCACATTCCACATATCCCCAGAAGAGCATTTTTGCTCTGACAGAGGTTTATGTTTTTCTTCTGTTTCTACTAAAAGAAAAATTTTGTTCTCAGCAGGCATCTGCAATCTCCTTCACACTTGCCGTGTCACACTTAACACTACTATGAAATTCCACTGTAATTTTCTGGTTTGCTGTAGTTATAGCTTAGCCAATATTTGTGAGATTGGAATGCAAAATCTTTTGTTTCAGTCGGGCTTTGTCCTTCTCCATCATGCTTAATTTTTTAAATATGGTTTTCTGAAGATGAGCCCCTATCAACACAGTGTTTTGTTTAAGAAATAATTTATTATTCAAGAGGGCTAAGCTTTATGCCTTAGCTTTGAGGAGGATGTCAGTTTGGAGCTTTGTTACTGTTTGCAAATAACATATTGGATTTTTTTGTACAATAGCTAGCAAGTTCTTCCTTCAATGTTTTCATAGAAAGGGAGAAGGCAAGAGCAAGTAAGTTTTGGTAAACCTCTCGGGTTGTCTAGGAGGTTTGTTAATTCAAGTGAATTATGTTTTCTTGTGAAAATACTGTTTTGTCCATATCCTTAGAACCGTTTTTTCTTCAAGTGCTTGTTTCCATAGTGTTGAAATTAATTTTCCACCATTGCAGAATTTTTCTTAGAAGGTATGTTATTGCCGAAGTTTGGAAAGTGTTACAAGAAATCATTCAACAATTAAGGATAAGACCATTTTCGTTTTGATCTGCATGTATTTTAACATTTTTTTTCTGTACATAGCATTATACTTTTGTATGATGCCTGTAGTTCAGCCTCTGAAAGTTAGTCCTTAATTCATTCTTGCTGTGGTGAAAATCCTTGGTGATATCTGTGTTTACAATAATTAGAATTTTTAGCTACTTTTTACATTATGAAATCATCTAAATCTTTAAATTCATTTCTAGGAGTCCCATTGCCGAAAGGAGATGATTGAGGAGAGGTATATGAGGTATAAAGACATAGTGACTTCTTTGCAGCAACAGCTGGAAGATTCAAAGCAAAGAGTTGGGCAAGTCAAGGTGTGTGTGTACTCCACTTCTGTGTCCCAATTGCTTTCAATCAGCAACATAACCTTACCTTATTAACTCCTAGTACAAACACAGACTGAAATCATGCATGAATGTTTCTGTTTCAAATAGCTGCCATGGCTGTTTGGCAGGTATATTGACATGGCATGAAATTTGATGAATTAAAGGTTGCTTTCATTGTACCCATGCCTTGGATACTTTTCAAAAAATCTTTCAGCTTTAACAAAAAGGTATCTTACTGTGTCTTACTTCTCTGAAGATTTTACTGCTTTGTCAAATTGCTGTCTACAGCAATTTTTAATTGTTCAAATTTCTATTGTCCTTTCAAGTAAAAGATACAGATAGAAATCTATTTCCCTTATAAAAAGGTTGACTAATTTATAAATTACATGTAGCAATTCTTCAGTAGTTGATATTTGCACTTATTGGAAGCAATTCTGTGTGATGTCTCTTTCATACATAAATGAAATCCAGGCAAACCGAAGGGAAGTGATTTGCTAAAGGTCACTCACTGGACTTACAGCAGTGCTAAGCATGAATAACTAACTCCCTATAATACAAATCCAGTGCTCTTCTGTAGAAACTTTGCCTGTAATGAGTTCAACTTTCCAATTATTAATATGCTTTCTTTCCCTTAGTAACTTGTTCATTGTCATATCACTGTCATTGTAATAGCAGCTTACTTCAGCAGAACTACGATTTCTTATGCAAGTGTTTGAAATAAGTGATCTGACCTGAAGAATCGTACTAGTATTTCTGCTACATGTCTCAGTCAAATCAGTTTCTTTGGCAATGCATCAAACCTGTGTCTCTAAGCAATTGAGCTCAAATTGAAGATCACACACTCTATGAAAAAGAAAGATGTTTGTGTTCCCCAACTTATATGTAACCGTCTTCCTACTGTAAAATGAGAACGTACTTACAACATGTCTTTTAAAAAGTGGAAAAGCTAAAATAGATACAGAATGTTTTAGCTTAGTAAGTTGCTGTTGTGAGAAGGCACAAAGTTACTTGAGAAGGCTATCTTGCTCTTCTGTAAGAAAGAATTGAAAGGAGGATACAAGCACAATCAGTATGTTGCTGGTGATAATCTTCAGTATCTTGAATTTCTTTTCCCTCCACACAAGCATTACTAAGTCAGTAGCTACTGAAATTTGGAAAACATTGAAAAGCTAAGTGGAATGCAATCAGCTGACGGTAGAACATAACATTGCACTAAGCTGACTGAACTTATTGAACTTGTGTGATTTGAACTCAGTAATCAGAAGCCAGTACAAAGCTGATTCCAAAACAATTCTCTTTCTTTAGACAACTGAGAGCATTTAATGGTTTCCATTTAGTCAGGCCTAATTGGGTTTTTGCATGACATACAGTACTCTTTGCTGTCACGGCTGCTGCAAATAGAACAGAATGTTCAAAACCGAGTAACAGACGGGTGCTAATCTGATTTCAGTGATCAGGCTAGCTTAGACTAAAAAAACCTTTTAAATGCTTGCCTTTCTTACCCTCCTTTGAAACTAACTCAAATGCCATTTATTTTTTAATTTATTTTACTGTTTGTCAGTTGGGAGTCTCTAAAATTGATTGCTGGAAGACTGTAGGTTTGAGGACACCAAAGTTGATTCTTTCTGGTATTTTTGGTTTACACTGTGTACATACTGCCCCTGCTATACAAAGTAGACAGATACTTAATAGCTGATAAGAAAATCCATGTTTCTATTAAAATTTTTACATTGATCATTTTAGATGAAATTACTTCTGATATTAAACTTCCTCTGTTATGTTTTTCTTTCTAGCCTTTCTTATATTACACTTGTTTCAGCTTGCTTGCCAACATTGATCTCAGACAGGCATTATCTAATCTTGTGTCCCAGTCTTTTCATTTTAAGGAGAAAAAATTAAACCAAAGTTGAATGTTCCTCTAAAAGCAGGTCTGTTTCTTTCTTTCTTATGATTTCTTTTATCCCTACTCAATCTTCCTACTCTTCTGTAGTCTTGTCAGATGGCTTTAAAATACTTGTTACTTAGAAGTCCAGAAAAATCATAATTTCTATTTGTATGTTTTAAAATGGAAGATTTCCAGTAACGAAAGTAGGCCATAGGCTGGGAGGATACCATCAGGTACAGCAGTCTTGATTTTTCAATGAAGAAAGGGCCAAATAATAGTAGATGAAGATGAAATTGGAGGAAAACTTCATAAATATAACATATTAAAAGAAAATAGCAACAGCAGCAAAATCAAAGCAGAAAGCCAGAGGAAAGCTAGAGATAAATGTTTTCAAGTAGAGATATAAATATTTTAGGAGAGTTTCCCTGCCACAGGTGATTGACTATCTACTCAAACACGGCAGATGTAGTTGTCCATGAAGCACATGACAAAAGGCACATTCTATACATTAATATTTCTGTAAAAAGAAAGCCATTTTGTTTTGCAGGTACTGGTAGAAGCACCTTTCTGGTTTAAAAACTCTTCTTTTAAAGCATTTCTGGAAGCAGAATGGAAAGACAAAAACGGTTTTTATTCTTTAAAAATTGTTATTGTGCTATGAACACTTTGGGTATTAAGTCTCTCATCAGCACATAAGGGGATTAATATGTATAATTCCCATTAGTCTTAACAGGAATAAATCCTTCTTCAGTGATGGAACAAAAGCTTATTCTATCTCTAAATTAATGTAAATTTTTTTTGTTTAGTTTTCAAATCTTATTTATAAACGTAAAATTAAGTATCAACATATAAGATAAATTGCAAGATGTTTTAACAAAATTCCTTGAGGCTTTTTATGATAAGAATTCAGCAGTAATGTTGTTTGTTTTATGAATTGATGCATTTATTCATTATGACTTCTTCTCATTTCAAGAAACTGAGTAATTTGGATACCAAGCCAAGCTTTTAATCTCATTTTGGATTGTATTGTAACTGGGGACTACTTGCTGCAGAGCTAAGAGAGATTTTTCAGGGATTTTTGTTTAAATGACATTTTTAAATTTATCTTCTCTTTTTAGCTTGTAGACCAAATGACTTTCCTCACCAAGAAGCTGTGCTGTATGGGTTTAGCCGTAAATAGTAACATTGTACTTAAGACTTTATGTAATGGTTTAACAAAAACATTCAAAAGCACCTTTAAGTATTTTGACATGCGAAATGTATCAACTTTAGGTTTTCTCAGTGGCAGTGAAATTAGATTTATATTTATTACTCCTTGTGAAATTAGTATGAACCATTCATTGATGAGGAAGTCATTATTCACTGATGTCTGCCCTGCTGATGTGGTGTGTGCTGAGCTGTGTGTGTGATGTGAATAGGAAAGAGCTTTTTACAACATGCTGTAGTGGCAAAGACTTGCAGTGATGCCAGTGCTTTTCTCAAGGCAAAGGAGTTTTTCTCAGACGTTTTATAGTGGTGAAGTGGGGATAAACTTGTAAGCAAATTTGAACCTAAGTACAATACCGAGAATTCAGAGAATTCAAATCAGTCTTTTCCAGTGTGTGTGAAATCACAGCATGTGCCTGTCTGTGTGCTACTAGCTTTTGTTGAAGTTTACAGCTGCTTGATAGTGATAGATAAAATTATTTTTATTTGATTCCCATAGGATGTGAAAATGGATGCTGAAATTTCTGATGTAGAAGTGGCTGCTCATTCTAGTTGGCGAACTCAAAACAGCTTTTTGTGCAGCTCACCGCTTTCAAGTTCAGGTTGTAAGTATTATAGCACAGAAAAAAACAGTAACACATTTTTTTCTTCTAAAATTTTTTTTCCTGATGAGTGAGATGCTGTTTTCAGAAGTGCTGGAACCATCTTAAGTATCCTACTGTGTTTTAGTTTTAGATGCTGGATGGATGTCTTTGCCTAGGAAGTACTTCATTACATCCCACTGACAGTTGTTTGGGTTTTTTTGGCTGGGACATTAAATATATTTTGTTTATCTATTGCAAAGAAAAGGGCTGCCATTGAATTCTGAATCTCTGCTTAACAAGTCATCCCTCTGTAAGCTGTGTAGACTCTCTGGTCTTCTGAGGGACCACAGAGATATCCTCAAACATGGATTCTTTCCAAGATCTTTCATGTGTGCCAGTTAGTCCCATGCTTGTGTAGCATTTTCTCAGGGAAAGTTGAATTCATAATTCTACTTCAATAGTGTTTTTAACTGTTTTTACTCTACCCCCATGTACATATACAAATTGTGTTCATGTGAAGTCATGGGTTCTCTGATTCAGCTGAGAAATGCTCAATAAAACATATGGCGTATTAGGTCTTGATTGGGTATGGAGGCACGCCTTTGCATGAGTGTCACAAGTAACTTAAAACCCAGGTTTTTAAGGGGGTTTTAAGCATATCAGTACAAGGATATCAAAATACTTCTCTTCAGAAGGGTATCATCTTCGTTTATTTTCAGTATAGCCAGTTTGTGTACTGGGAACCTCTTTAGAAAGTTGCATTCTCTTGAAGCCTGTTTCAGGCTTCATTGCACTTTGAAACATTGCATCTTTCTGTGAGTGCTGTGGGGCATTTCTGCTCACGAGTAAGTCTTGAGCTGATCTGATGAGGTTAAAGGTAATTGGTTTCTCTTCCTTTCAGAATCTATGGACTGGGGTTAGTATCTTTTTGCAGAGCATATTGAATAAGAGTAGTGGGAATACAGCATAGGAGATAATACCTCTGTATCATCTGTACTGCAGGAACACTTTACCTTGACTCAGAGTTGATTTTTCTGTTTTCCCAAACCTCATCCCTGTCAAAGTCTTGCAAATCAAAGTGCAGCTGAACCTGTTTTGGGTATAGAAAAGAAGTAACAGATGCCTCACAGAATATTCAGATAAATGGCCTCTACCAGTCCCTTCTAGTCCCAAGAATTCCAAAATTGGTCACTGCAAAAATGTACTGAAATTTAAAAATAAGTGCTCCTAAACTATTTCAATGTCTTCATACTGCTTAACCTGAATTAAACAAGCTAGGACTTTGTTGCTTTAAAACTTTTTAATAAATTTTAGGGAGTTTTAAGAGAAATAGGATCCATGTGATCTGAATACCAATCTGATGAAGCAGTTGTGCATGTTTATTCTCTGATTCAACTGTTTTTTACCAGCACTAAGTACTAAATTTTCTGGAAATAAAAAAATAAATTATTAACAAAAGACAGTGGTGATTCAATTCACTACTTAGTCCTTATGGCACTGAAACATGTGGATTACTCCACAGACTTTGGTTTTTGACTGATTGTCACTTTATGCTGAAACTGATTTCCACCAGTCAAATGTGTATTTTGAAGTTGTTGGTATAGTTCTTGAGGACAGTGAAAATTCTGCTGTGTTATTAGCATTAAGGAGAGTTTTCAGTGAGTGGCAAATGAAAAGTCAGCTACTTCACTCATGCTAGTCACAAAAACATAATGAACTTTAAATTTCAGTAGTGGTATTAATTAATTCTCATTTGAGATTTTGACAGTGAAGTATAATTTGACATCTTTGCTCCCAAACCTGCTGTAGCTTTTAATAAATCTTCCTATACATGTCATCATCTATTTTCTGTGATTAATTGTCTCCTTCTTCAGAAACAGAAGGATGGAAATTTTTTTCCTTCATTTGCCTTTTGGAGCGGTTTGCAAGCCTTTGTGATTTATATTTCCCCATTCCATCTCTCTTCAACTCATGCAGCCTTACAGACTATAGATTCAATAACTAATACGAGAAGCTTCCTTCCCAATGTGTGTATTCTATGACTTGTGGAGAGTACCCAGAAGGAGAGCAGACTCATTTGTTATAATTTAACTTATTTGTGAGGGAGATTGTGGGATTTAAGTTTAAAATGGGTTGACAAAAGAAGAACAAATAGTATGGGAAAATAAATAAGGGAACAACAATCTATTTCCATATATATACATATATATGTTTACCAAAAATTTGCCAGTGCAGCAAGCAGTTAAAAGGAAAATAATTAACATCAACATTGTGTTTTGTTTCTGGTATAATTTCTTCAGTTATAACAGCTTTTCCATTATAAACATATTTTAAAATATGTTGAGGGAATGTGCTTTTATTTCTGTACACATTTTCTTAGAAATTAAGAAGTTGAAATGAGAAAGTAATTTTTTCAAGGAAACATTCACTATATGTGGTTTGCAGTCCATATTATTATCAGACCAGAATGGTTGGTCCAGCCAGTCACTGGTTGTTATCTAAAGAATAATCCTCAGAAACTTTTTTTACGGCCACTGTATTTTCCTGAAATTTTGAGTACAAAAGCCCCTTGGGTTACACATGCTTTGCATTAACTTTGTGCATTGAGTCCTGCCTTTCTCTTTGCACATTTCATCACTTTGAGGTTTTAACCTGGATGGTTTCCCAGAAACCATATGTCTTAGAGGTTTTCTATTGTTGTTGGGAATTTATGTTGCAGGGCTTCGTAAGTTGTGGTGGACAACACTCTTGTGTCAACATGGTATGTAGTAGGACTGATATCACAGCTGAATAAAACCAAGCTGTCCTGAATGTAGGCTTTATTGTCAAAAGAATTAACTTCTGCACTGTATTGCTGGTGCCTGTCTTTATCCCTCTATGTATACTTTTTCATAAATTCTTAAGACTATTTTTATTGGCATTTATAAATAATGTAATGTACTTACAAGTAAAAAGACATTGCAATGTGACTATGCTGTGGGCACCCTTCTAGAACAAAACCTAGGGCTGCTTAAGAATAAGAACTTGGAATGACTGGAAACTTGACATCATCACTTAGAAAAATGCAAATTGAATTAGTTAAGCAATGAACTTTATGATTTTTTGCCTTACTTTGAATACTGTCCACAGGAGGTACCACTGACATAGCATACAGCAGCAGAGCTTTGAGCCAATTCTGAAAACTTTGTGCTGAATACTTAGAACTCACTTTTATACCAATGTCCCAAACACAGTGATTTCATTCTTCTGAAAGTGAAAACATCTCACCCCTCCTAACCAAACTGTGAAGTCTTGCTCCTTGTTAAATAACTTTTGGTTATGTATTGCTACAATTTTACTGGATTGTTAGAAATTGCACTCTGGATATTCAGTAGGATGACTTTTCTTCCATGCTTGTGCTATAAAGAAGGCCATTAGAAGAAGGGTATATGTAAGCTGCTAGCCACTTTCCTTCCCTTAATTTCTGCCTTTTGCTAAATGTTTGGGTATTTGATTTTTTTTTTCTTCAGCCTTTTATGATAAGATGTTTTGTCAATTCATATTGTTTGGATTTTGATGCAATATAATATTTTTAGAAATAAGCACCATATGTGTACCCTGCTGTGAAGGTATATACACAGTATGACATTGTATGAGCACCTGTTCAGTGTCACTTGGTGACTTAAGTCCATTCTGTTAGTAAAGATATTCCTTCACAAATTTTTGAGAGGTATGTCTTATTTAAACAAAAATTCTGGAAAAATAAATGGAAAATATTTCTTAGTGTAAGAATCAAAGTTTTTTAAACAGAGTCTACATTTCTTGTGTATAAGAAAGCTCATGGATATGCCTGTATTATAGAGTATTAAAATAGATTTCTTTAGAAAACAAAACATTATATTCTCAGATATGAATATTGAATATATTACTTGCTGAATAAATTATAATATCATATAATGAAATACATGTTATAAATAAAAACTAATGGCCAGTCAACCAAATCCAAGAATCATAGGTTTGAAAAGGCCTCTAAGATCATTGAGTCTAACTGACGCAATACATGATTCTGAAAATGCTTAATCACCTTTTTTGTGTGACTTATTTCTAGCACTTACAAAAGGGATGGTTCCTTTGGATACAAGTGGCACCAAGGAAGATGCTACTAATGTTGCTGTTAGTGAAAAGAAGCTGCAAGCAGAAGGAGGAAAGCAGTAGAATATTTTATGAAACCACACCAGTTTTCTCTGTGGTAAATTCCATTCCACTTTTTTTTTGGTTTTGAACCATAGTAATTCCATCTGCTGTAGGAGTGATGCACCCTTAATGATTCAACAATTGCCAAACACTCAAATGAAAGAGCACCACGACTAATTCTAATGAACTCGTTTGGTAATCTAGGTGACTTGCACACCAAAGGCTTTCTGAGATTTTGCTGTTCTCTTGTATTTGTTTCTGCAGTCCTCTTAGACTATATTTATTGTATTCCTGAAATACTGTGAAGTGAAATACCTGTGACATTAATCTTTGCTATGAGCTTATTTACCCCTATACAGGAATTGTTCTGACACTTGTTTTTTAATTATGTTTAGTAACATTATTAATAATGAAAAAAACATTCAGAAATTGCCTATTACTATGATAGAGAATAAATACACAGTGTTGTGCAGACACATTTGTGATTTTAGGTCCCTCAGTTTGAAAAAATCATTTCAAAAAGAAGTGATAAAACAAAATTTTCTCAAAGCAATTAAAAATTCACAGCTTGGTTTCGGGTTCAGCATATATGTATTATAAATTGTCTAGAATTATTCTTTTGGCCAGAACACTTTTATTAGATGGCCTCAATTAGGCACTTTAAAGAATCTGAATCTCACCCATCTGTATCAGGAGTGTTGAATGGCACTTCTTTGTGGCTGTGAAAATTTTAAAAGCAATGTCTAATGTTCATTTATTTATTCTGTTTTGTTCTCTATTAGAGAAGATGTGTTATATTGATTGTAAAATACTATGGAAATAGAATATTGCTCATTTGTATTTGTTCAGATATCACTATTCTAAACAAATTAGACACAATTTTGCGTTACAGTGGTCTCAAAGAGCAAATCAAAGAATTTTCTGTCTAAGAATTCTGCTGTCTAAAGAAATGCAAGTGTTTCTGATGGTTCTAGTTTCATTTTCCCCTCAGCTACTTCTGGCTGGATCACTGCTAGTGTGCCTTAAAAGATTTGCCAAAGCTACCAGGGTACTGTAGCAACATTAACACCACTCAAACAATTTTGTTTTGCAGACTTCTGTCATATTTAGGAAGTCTATTTCTTCTCTGAAACACTGTTATTTTTTACCACTGTAGGTGTCTCAGGTATAATTCATAGGCCATGATGTGCCATCACAAAAGAGGACTCTTTTATTTTTATTTTCCAATACTCTGATGAAGTGTTCTGTAGTCCCAGTGGGTGCTCTGGACCGTGTGCTTCTTGACAATCACCTTGTGTTCGTCCTGTTTCAAACAGAACAACATGCTGAGAACATCAAAATCAGACACAGAAATGAGAAAAAGATTGAGTTTATTCTCTGTTCATTTTCCATGAACTTAAATTGCTTAAAACTAAAAAAAATCTGACATGGTTAAAAGTTTTCTTTACCTTTTGTTGTGTATTATGCTGTGCATGATAGTGCTGGCATTGGCTTTTTGCAAACTTCTGGCATATCTCCTCATTCAGAGGGTCAAGAAAACAAAACAGGCACATCCATCTGTTCTGATCTCAATGGCCATGACAGGAACAAGAAAAAAAATCAACAAATAAACTGATCTCTACAAAGAGTGTGGATGTCATGAAACAGTGTTTAGCTCAAGCCACAGCTACTATAAACTAAACTTACTTTAAGTGGATCCAACATTTGGAATTTATTTTTTTTATTAGATCACAGCAGAGGTGAAAATATGGCATTTAAAATACTTTAACTGGTTTGGTCTGCTGCAACTTATAAAATTGCAAAGCAAAATGTTAGCAGTTTGCAGACTTTATGGTACCTACAAATTATGGCCAAAACATAGAATGATCACTTTAAAGTATATTATTAAGCGATAAATCATGTTCTCAAAACACCTTATGTGGTAGTGAGGTCTGGTGCATGGATTGCTGATGGATAAATGTATACCCTAACTGTTTTACCAAAGTTTAAATTATTTTGTGTCATGAAAGTAGGTAAATAAAGGGGCCTTTGAGAGTCTTAGCTGAGAAGTAAGACCAGAAATATAATGTCCTCTCTTTTTCCTAAGAAATTTGTAAAAATTGTACCATTTTATGTATTTATACATTTTTTCCTGACTTGTAACTTAGAAATCTGAAGTATGTGTTCTTAAAACAGGATCACTACTGATTTATATTGTTAGAAAACAAGGACAAGCAGTCTTATCTCCCTCACTATTACATCAAGTATTGAATCGACTTCTGTACTACATAGGACAGAAATTACTACTGGGTGAACAATTTTGGCTTTAAAACTTAAGGTATGTTCAGTGCTTAGTATATTTGCCTTTTCCCATGTGACTGGGTTTTCATCAGTTTTATATCCTTTTATAAAATTTTCTAGAAGGAGTGGAAGAACAGAAGAGACGTCAAACCATGCACACACACACACTCGCAAAAAATTCTTACTGAGTAGACATAGGGACTCCAAAGCCAGGAAATTCTTTCTTAAGTTTACCCTCTTGGCATGGCAGTCTAGATAGCATGTAATATTTGTCTCTCTTCCTCCTTTAATAGAGGTTCATATTACAAAGTGAATTTTGTTTCCTCTTTACTGAAGGCTAAAGTTCCGTTCATGACATTATGTGAAACTGTCCCTTTGTGGTTTAAGAAATAATATTTTTTCCATATTAGTCTGAAATAATATTCTTCTGCACAATTTCAGTTTTTAAAGTAGAAAAGCAGAAATTTTTAAATACAACCTTTTGTATATTTCACATCTTTAAAATTGCTGTCCCTTCTGGTAGCCAGATGTTTTTGTACTTTAACCCTTTAATGACCTATTACTCAATTCATACCCAAAACAGTTGTTTTCAATAATCAAAAATGTGGTATTGTGCACACAAAAAGTGATGGTTTAAATCTGTGTTCTGTTTAGCATTTGGCAAATCAGGCAAATTTTTATGTATGTACTAAGTACATACAGATTTTATAAGCTAGTATCAGGCACTCTTTTTTTTTTAATGCTGCAGTGAAATACAGTGCTTCAGTACTGTGCTTTCAAAAATGTATTGGCCCTCTATTTTAGCATCAAATAGCTGTCACATGAGTAAGCTAGAAATTTTATGCCCTTCAGTTCCTAATGTTTTATAGCAGACTTGAGAGTACTTAATTACTTTTGAGACTATATTTACTAAACAGACAAAATAATTTATTATTATTGTGTAATTATGTCATCCTAAGAAGAAATGTCAAAATAAAAATAAAAAATAAAATTTTACAGTGCAAAACAAAGCAATTTCTTACATTTTCTTCCCAAATTTTTGATGGAAACTGGTCTTCAGTGATGGTGAGAATACTCCTTGGATATTCAAAGCTCAGCCACATTTTTAGTGACTATTACAGCAAAGTAAATAAAGAAAATACATGAAAAGCCCATACAACAGAGAAACTACAATTCTCAAATCCATTTCTCAGCTAAGGAATCTACATATCAGTTCATATCTGGCTTGCAAGGCATAGTCTTTGCACTGGATAGCACTGAGTGGTTTTTCATGAATGAAAATGCCAGTATTACTCTGAAAGGAGATCAGTAGGTATTTTTGTTACACTGATTATAATTTTTATGGCTTAATATGAGAAGTCTGCAACTTGGATGCATTCTCATATCTATAACATGCAGGAAAACTTTTTCATAAATTTTTGTGGCACTGCTTGTTACAGTAGAATTTTACAGTATCCATGTTAAACTCCTTGTGTCTGCAGTGTGTTAGTAACAAATTTATCTGTCTAAACCCTTGTCACCCCACAGAAGTAATTGATACTGCAGTTAATGTGAGTTGCAGGTCAATAGCTGATGACACAGCCTTCTCAAGAATGGATGTGCTGGAGGACATCATGCAAAATCCTGTGATTTTGATGTAATTGTAGAATTTAGAAGCAGTTGTAGAGGAAGATTTAACAGTGGAAGGGATGGAAAGCAGTTCATTATTAAATTAAAATTTAAGAACAATTGTATTCTTGTTGTCTTAGCTTAAAAACTGTCTTATAGCTAGTATTTACATCTGAATGAAAGTGATCCCTAAACCAAATTCCATGGTGGATAATTTTTTTTTTTTTTTTCATGCTTAAGTACTTTCTACTCTAGCACAACTCAACTCTTTACTGTAAGCATGTCTGGGCTGCTGTGAATATGAACTTATTTGCTTTTCTCTGTAAATAACTAAATTAGATTTTAAATCTGAACAATATTTTTGTGCTCTGTACAAGAGTACAACACAGCAGAATCCAATAACCAAGTCAGTCAAAAATCTGCAATGCGTTAGGGAATGTTGATGGCAAAAATGAAGGACATTGCTGTGGTTAAAATCCAGCAACATCCAACTTTTATCATTTGTGCTAACAACAATAGCACTCCTGTTTATAAAGCTGAAGTTGCACTTCTGTCATTTTTCTGGCTGAAATAGTGAGATTTTATTTTCTTTTCCCCTAATGATGACAAAATCTGTAGTGTGAGAATATGCAGTGAATATATTTTTAAATTTCTAGTATTTTTATTTGGGAATCTACCAGGTGCTATTTGGAAGTAACACAGTTGTTAACGTGTTTTTGTTAAATTATTACATTTAAAAACACAAACTCCATAGAGATATCTCTTTTAGGATAATTTTGCTGTCTGTTTTTAGGGACATGGCTCCTTGATAGGTGTTTTATGGGAGTAAGTACAATAATTGTTCTTGAGTAGTTTGTTATTTTCTTCTCTCTTCAGACCAGAGTTGTTTTGATGTTAGACTACTTTTCTCATCTGCCATCTAAAGTGCACTAGTGTGTCAGAAGACATACCATAATTTCTTCACCTTCCCACTGTCAATAATTTTGGTAGTTTATGTTCCCATGGAATTACATTAGTATTGATGGCAGTTGTTTCTTATAAGCTCTTTTCATATGAACTCTGACACTCTTGTTTGTTTACTAAAATAAAAGCTACGTAGTAAATGGACTAACATCAGGTCACATGCTGTCTAATTTTAAAGATTATTCTACAGGCCAAAGTAAATATCTCTTACTACATTCGTCTAGATTTTCTGATTGCCAGCATTGATTCTACTATCAGTTTGTAGAAGGAAATGGTAAAGGATAGACTTTGCCACAATACCCCTGAAATATTATTGATTTGAGGCAAAAAAAGAGACTACAAGAAATTTAGGACATCTGCCTAAGTGCTTAGTCTAGAACCTAAAATACTCATATTAAAAAGTGTATTTCTTCAGTGTGTTAATATCAAATCATCTTCCTTATAAACAGTTGCTGACACCTAAAATATTTTTGAAAAGTCCTACTGAAATTTGCTCAATGTGATCAAAAGGATTTCTGTATCACTCACTGTTAAACAAGCATGGAACTGGGAAACGGCCCAATTTATGTTTCTGGCATGAGGCTCTTCACAGAAACCACCAGTGGTACAGTTCTGTATTTAATGTGGAAAATGATGAGGATGAGCTGTGTTTTGCTGGTGTCCAAGAGAACAGTTTGCATCTGTGGCTTTTTGGTGGAGGGAGCTCAGTGCGTGCACCATTTTTATTGAGGCTCTCCCTGGCTTCTGCAGCACTAACAGCACCATTTCACTCAAAAAGCTGCAATCATGAAGACATCATGGAGCTGGCAGAACTTTTGTGACATGTTTTGACTAACAGAGTGTCAACAACTCCATCAGAAACCTTGGAGTTGTTTGTTTTGTCTTCACTGGAACAGTCTCCAGTGCAGTCATAGAGCTGGAAGATGCAGAAACCTTTGTTTAGTGTGAGCTACATCAGCAGGGAGGCTTGCTGGCCATGGAATGTGAATGCATTAGTATATTGTCCATTGATCAATTAGAGGTCTACAAATTTACAAAAAACTAATCTAAAAGGTTTTTAAAAGTGAGACAAATTATTCTTATATGGTAGTTAAAAAATCTCTGCAAATATGAAAAAATGAAGTACCAAAGTCAAGAAACACTTCATTTTTCCAGAATGCAAGTAATTGGTTAATTTCAGTGAAGTGACAGACTGAAATGAAGGTCCTGAATATGTTAATCAGCAGACATCAACCCACTTCATATCATCTCTTAACATGTGAGACTTGCTGACTTTGATTTAGACTTAACTATGTTCCATACTTAGGGTAAGTCTCTTATGTGTGCTTTGCACTGAGTAGCTGAGTGGAAATAATTGCAGTGGATACGCTACAGAAGGAATACTGGCTCTTGCAGTGTATTTTAACAAATAGCTCAAATGTTCACATTTCTGCTGTGGTATTACATTACCAGAAGAAAGCAACAAATAGAAAAATACTTGAATTGTAGGTGAGGGTGTCAATCCAATAACAGTGTATTACTGAGGTTTTGAAGGTGTATCACTTTTATGGCTGACATTTCTAGCTGTGCTTATTAGCAAATACTGATATTCTATTTTATTTTTTTTTCCCTTGGGGCATATGAGAAGAAAATATGTTACTTGGTTTTGATTTCTAGAACATGTTTTCCATCTCATGCTGTCAATTTCTATTTAACTTGGTGTTAGCTAAAAAATTCCACCATCTAATTCTGATACTTCATTACAAGCACTCCTAATTAAGTTAGTTAATACATGAGTCACTTTCCTCCAGATCTTTTGTTTTCATTTCATTTGAATGAAATACAGTGGTTTTTTGCAGTTAGTGTCCTAAAACTGGAGCAAAATTATTCTTGTGAACTAGCATTTTGGTTGGGACATTCCAGAATGAAGATTTCCCAGGCAATTCATACATGTGACACTGAATATATTACATCATATTTCCCAGTCAACTATTGCCACTGCAGTGGAGTATAAAGTAACAACAAAGAGCTTGCAGAATTTCAACAAATAATATGGATGAGAAATGTTTCTGTGCTGGTATGAAGTCAGAAAGGTCTGTTTAATATTTCTAAAACTTATTGTATTGGTTAACGTGATAGAAATAGGCATAGTGGAATGAAATTCCTCAATACTGAATAATTTCTTGAGATAAAGTCCTTGAGTGTTTAGCAAGGAGTCCAGCTCTTTGTACATGTTGAGGTTCACCTTAGTGTAGTAACCAGAACTATTGCAGTTTCCTTCAGACTTGATTTCTGAAACATAAAGGTGTGTTCAGAATTCTAATAGCTGTGTAGGCATCAGGTATATCCTGTCCACATAATTATATCTCTTTCTTATAGACATTGACATATATAAACACATTCATGCAGTGTAAAATTTTACTGCTCAAAAAGAAAGATTGCCTTTTATGCTTGGAAATCCTGACTGCAGTAAGGCTAGCAGAGGCCTTGCCATTAGCATTAGTAGAGTTACAATTTTGTGCTGAGTTTTAGAAAAGAGGAGAGAAATATTTTTTTTGTCTGTTTTTTCATTGCATTCTGAAGGTCTGCAAGTCTGCAATATATGTTGGTTTGATGAACAACAAATGCTTGCCGAAAAATACATGATCTTATAATAATCATATGGTAACAAACTCCAAAACACTTGGAATAATTTGACACTATCTCATTTTTATATTTTATTTTTTTTCAGAATCTAAGAAATGAGATTTTGAGTTCATTTAGGTTACTATGTTTTTTTCAAGACTAAGTCAAAGTTAGTTATATCATGAAAACCGTAGTACTTCTGAATAACATCAATCCAAGCTTATGAAATTTGAAAAATTCTGAAGCAGCTCTTTGATCCCCTTCTATGTGGTCTACTACAGTATTTTCAAAGTAATGAAGCCATCTCCAAGGAGAGATGGCTCATCTGTTAGTATGTATCAATTGTATTTCACAGTCATGACTATACATGTTTTGTTTTGTATCAGTTTTTCAACTGATTTAGTAATTTAATGAGAACCAAAAATGGGGATTTTTGTGTGTGTAAGGAGAAGCTAATTACATCTTACATCTAAATTCCAGTACTGTTGGTATTCTTTCTTAACAAAAGACTCACAAAATAAAACCAGTTTTGACTTTTTTGTCCTATAATATTTGCGTTCCAAGATAGCTTCACAAGTTATTTGCAGTCCACTTTTCCATTATCTGCCATCTTCAAGGAGGAAGAAAGTTCAGCTTGACTATCTTAAGAAGTATGTAATGAATTAAAAAAAAAAAATCTAGAATCTTAGAATCATTTAGGTTAAAAAAGATCCTTTTGATCAAGTTCAGCCAAACTACTGCTTCACTATTACTTCCTGTAAATCGCATGGATACACATAAAAGTAAGTCTACAGGTTGGATTTTCAGAACACCTCATGTAGGTTTAACAACAATG